ACATGATAATATTCGGATACTCGCCGAATGAGTGAGTGAGTTGGGTTTAACGCCGCTTTTAACAGTATTCCAGTTACATCACGGCGTGTCAGCTTAATGTGGGAGGAAAGCCCGAAGTGATGCAGGTCTCAGACGTTTAGCACTTCGGTGAAACCCACGAGCACGGGTATGGTGCTGACAAACCTAGAAACATAATCGGGGCGAAGCGGGATTCGAACCCACAATCATAGGTTTCTGGCGTGCCCAAGGGACGCAACTCTGCCTTAGACGACTGGGCCACCCGTGCCCCCGATACTCGCCGAAGCAAAGTTGAACAGCATTGAGGATCATATTTCAACAGCACTGGCTGATTGTAAGATATCCGAGGAGGATTTTCGTTCAGTGTTGTCAGAACTCACCAAATACAACACAATAAAGCAGGAGATTCGATCTTAATATCGTAAGATCAGTGGTATTAGCGAAGACGTGAAAAAAAGTACATAGAACAGGGGACACAAGCGCGTCAATTATTCCGTGCCAAAACCAAAGAACTGGTTGGAGATTAAAAAAAAAATTGTTTCCTATCATTGGATCGCACCGCATAACAAATCATACATTCATTTAAACGAATGCTTACATAAATATATAATAATGGAGAATTACAAACCAACAAAGGAAGAACTCGAAAAAGCTATCGAAGCATTTATGCTCAGGGACAAAATTATCAAATGGAGAGAATTACCACAAGGTATATATTATATCAATGATGTCAGACCAACCAAATACGGTCATCAATTGTTTCTTTCCAATTACCAAGAAGAGTATATAGTCTGGTCTCCTAGTAAAATGAACGAAGAACTTAGTAAAAATGTTGAATATCACTTTGTTAAAAAAATATGTTATGCGTATGAGTAAAAATAATAGAGAATATTTTCATTACAATTTAGTTTAGTCTCATCATCGTTTTTGTGCTAAAAATTCCCTCTATGGTATCATTGATTGACTCAAGGTAGTGGTGAGCTAGAGTCAATTTAACTTAATCTCATGACGATCGTTGAATCGCATCAACGTTTACACATAAAAAATTCCCCCTGTAGTAGCAGTATAGGTATATAAATCTGGCTCCAGTGGGGTTGCGGCAGAATCACCATTACCTATACTACTTTCTGTGACGTTCCTTGTAAGAGCTGAACATTTAATATTGGAAAAAGGCTCAGGGTAGATGAAATGGAAATTTGCAATAACATATTGTGTGATGCATAAATTGGGTGCTTATTGCAATTGCAAATATCGTCTTTCTTTTTTGACAATAAATAACAACAAATTCTGTACTGTGCTCATATTTCAACGCCATCATCACTGTTCGTGTGATGATTAACCGATCATTATTGACTTATCAACACTGACTATTGGGCAATCTTTTTGTTCCAAAGGGAAATAACTCTCCTTTTGAAATGATATAAGCGACGGTCCAAACTGTCACTTCCGGTCTGGTTCCCGGATCAATGCGCGCTGCGACAACTACACTCTCCAACCCAGAGTTCCATGCGGCCGGTGTCATTTATACCGGTACAGTTCCGCCCCTCTCGAAATAAATTCTCTCCCACCCTACGAAATAAAATCTCCCCCCAGAATATTTCCTCTCCCGGTCGTTTTATAAATACTTGCCATGCAGTTCAATAGTTGCCAAACACTTCTGATAGAGACGATGTGACGAGACGAGAATGTGGAGTGTGGAGTTCAATGGGCTTCACTTTGAGCGCTGTGTTTTCTTTACTACCGCAATATGAGACAATAAAGTGGTATATAGGTGGTTATAATATTAGTCGTTAGATATAAAGAATGTTTAGTAACTTAAGAAGTTCTAGGACAGTTATTAACACATGTCGTGTCAGCCCTATTACATTCGCGATTGTCCACTTCCAGAAAACATCCTGTGTTGGTTTAACATGAATTAGTAAGTGTTAATTAGGGATGCCCATAACGTTAATTAATGAAAGACGAGTAGTCAAAACACTGTCATTTCCTGCCCAGGACATCACACCCCTACACGCTAAGGTCGGTGAGAAACATTCTCATAAAAAAACACACACACAGTCAAGACTGTAGATTCCCGTCGTCTAGCTACAAATCCCTGTGATGTATTAAAGGTTGAAGAATTTTGAACTGAACTGTCCGAAAGTTTAGATCTAAAATGTTGGAATTGGATACAGTGATAAAGTCTTATATCAATATGTAGACTCATAAATATTGGTTTTATGTTTTAACGGAGATATGATATTTTCTTATGAAATATCGCGTAATAGAGTAATTTGCATGCTTTACCATTCATTGTACCATTCTAAAAACCATGTGAATGTTGTAATATCAGTCAATCGGGTGGGAAAACAGCCCAATCATCGCTCTATAAAGGACTATGTCAATCATTTTGCAAGTTGAAATGACCCCTGATACTTTATGAATACTTTATAACAGTTTATTCATAAACTTAATGCTTCGTACTATAGGCCTGTGGCCTCTTCAGTGCTGAATAAAGATTGAAAATACATCAGTCAATCAAAGATGAAGGTAACTTTATACATCAGAGTTCTTTAGAATTAGTTCATGTTTTGTTCTTAGACCAACATTTCAACCATCGATTGTGTTCACATGTAGACTCAAACTGGTATATTAAAAAAATGTATACAGACAACAACAACTGTATTAGAAACAACAAGTTCTGTAGAGACTCATGTCTCCCATCCTTTGTTTGGTATGATTATGTCTTATAATTATTTTAGGATGGAAGGTACAGTTACCAAATAAAATATTCTGAAATATCAATTCATGATGACCATATTTCATAATCTATTTTTTAAAGTAACCCTCCTTACATTAAAGATAACTATTTAAAGAATATAGTACTTAAAGACATTGCAACAAACCGAATAATCAGGGAGAGACTTTATACTGAGGGGGGCGCGAAATATATCCGCCCGGGTGAGATTTTATTTCAGAACAGATTCGCGGGGGAGAATCTGTACCGGTATAAAATCTCCGGGGGGAAAATTTGTACGGGGGAGAGTTTATACCGGGACACCGTCCTTGATAGGACCATCCCCGATTAAAAGTTGTCAAAAGTCTGATCGAGATCCTGTGATTCGTGGCGGGAAATTTACCAAATTCGTTAAATCATTTATCTTATCACAACAACAATCAAATATTGTTGAGGAAGTTTCCAGGCGAATTAGTCCCGATTCTCCCGTTCTCAATCCGAATCTGATCCGATTTGTATCAGACCGAATCTGTCCCGACAGCGTCCCGATTCTCCCGAATGCGATCCGACAGAGGTCAGACAGTGATCGGACAGAGAACCGACAAAGTCGGCAAGATCTGCACGCAATCTGGACTCAATCCACAAGAAATGGCAATGAACAATTTCTCCAAAATCATGCCCGTTCATCCCGACAGTGTCCCGATCCACAGGACACCGTCCAGACAACACAGGACATTGTTACGATTTTGATCCGATACAGCTGAATCTGTCACGACATATATAGTCACGTTTGTAATCCGACTAGACAAAATCGGCTGAGTACCCCGAATGTTACGGGACGCACCATACTGCCGGGAGTGCTTGGCCGACCTCTCTGGACCTTTCCCGATCCGTAGGACTGTTACGAACGTATATGACTGCGTTCAGACAATGATTGGACATTCCAGATTATTGGGGATGGTAATCCGACTTTTCACTTTTCGTGTCGTAGCGCTGTCTGATCTCAAACAGGAGCCATACCCCTGCACTGTATGGACGTAGCATTATACAACTACAACCCCCTTTGAGATGAAATCTTAGTTGGTTGGTTGGTTGGTTGTTTAATACCGCACTCAGCAATATTCCAGCTATATGACGGCGGTCTGTAAATAATCGAGTCTAGATCTGGTCCAGTGATTGACATCGTGACTATCCATCTACTGAAATGGGATGACATGCATCAACCTGAGCACCCAATCCATTTAGTCGCCTCAAGCATAGGTTGCCGTGATCTATATTCTTTCCTGGGATCTCCACGGGTATTGAGGTGAAAAAAAGACAAGGAGTATGACAAATGTATAATGTAAGCATAGAGTATAGACTATTGACAATGCTGGAGATGAATGTGAAATAGTTATAAGGGACAAGGAGTATGACAAATGTATAATGTCAGGCATAGAGTATGGACCATTGATGATGCTGGTGATAGAATGTGAAATAGTTATAAGGGACAAGGAGTATGACACTTTTATAAATGCTTTTAAAAATGCTAATAATGGTCAAAGTGTGTGAAATATTAACATACTAGACAATGAGTATTACACATTGATAATACTATACATAGTGTATATATAGAATTCTAAATGGGTTCCCCTTATAAAACGAGTAAATAGGTCTGGTACGCGACAAGTATAGTTGCCTTTTACGGTAAGTATGAGATGCTGAAGACCTATTCTAACCCGGATCTTTACGGGCTTGTCGCAAGAGGCGACTAACGAATCGGGTTGTCAGGCTCACTATCCTGGTTGATGCATGTCATCGTATCCCATCTGCGTAGATGTCAATCACTGGATTGTCTGGTCCAGACTGGATTATTTACAGACCACCGCCATATAGCTGGGATATAGCTGAGTGCAGCGTTAAACAACAACAAACAATTTATATCAGATTTTCAACAGTATATATCTGTCATCATTACCAGTGGAACAACTTCAGTACAGATGGCAGTCATTGTACCCAGACAACGTAGGTCGTTGCTCATAATATCGATCACTAGATTTTCGGGTCCAGACTTGATTATTTACAGGCGGTAGCTGTAATAGTGCCGAGTGCGGCTTTAAACAACTAAAAACCTTTACCACAACGTCAGTTCAATCAAAGCAACGGTCATGTTTGTTGACAATATGTCAGTTTAACCGCCATAAGCACATGGTTATAGATGAGCAGTGTGCTGTTGTATAGTGTGAAGAAAGTTAAAGGATGTTAAACTAGACTGTTAATGTTTCAGTGTTCGAGCCTGAATCTATCCGACTACAGATGGTATTTGAAAAATGGATCATGCTGAAGATGTTTCTCGCTGCCGTAGCATCAGGTAGGACACCTGTCCTCTCGATAGCCGATCCTCTGTCACTGGTAGCGTCAGTGAGTTGGCCATTGGTAAAGCGAGTGAGTTGGTCATTGGTAGAGTGAGTGAGTTGGTCATTGGTAGAGCGAGTGAGTTGGTCATTGGTAGAGTGAGTGAGTTGGTCATTGGTAGAGTGAGTAAGTTGGTCATTGGTAGAGCGAGTGAGTTGGTCATTGGTAGAGTGAGTGAGTTGGTCATTGGTAGAGTGAGTAAGTTGGTCATTGGTAGAGTGAGTGAATTGGTCATTGGTAGAGTGAGTGAGTTGGTCATTGGTAGAGTGAGTGAGTTGGTCATTGGTAGAGTGAGTGAGTTGGTCATTGGTAGAATGAGTGAGTTGGTCATTGGTAGAGCGAGTGAGTTGGTCATTGGTAGAGCGAGTGAGTTGGTCATTGGTAGAGTGAGTGAATTGGTCATTGGTAGAGTGAGTAAGTTGGTCATTGGTAGAGTGAGTGAATTGGTCATTGGTAGAGTGAGTGAGTTGGTCCGCGGTAGACTGGAATGGAAAGGGAATTGGGATAGTTTGGTAGTCAGAAGACACCGGTTCCATTTACATGATCAAACACGGCCGCTATGATTATTTACCCACCTGAAAATGCCATTTATGTAGAAACGTCTCGATGGAATCATATCCCGTCATGCAATTAATTCATATAATTAAAGAGACGATTTATAGAGTAAAAGTTTACCAAGCCGGTAGACCAGATATATGCCAAATATATGCTCAACGTGTATAGAGTATGTTTCAGTACATAAATGTCATTGTAATCAGACCCCTCAACACATAAGAGGCACCGTGTGGGCCTGCTTCTTGTGGTATCCGTTCGGCATGTATCATTATTCAGAATGTTGGGCCGTTTGCCCAAATACATTTAATTTATTTATACTTATGGTGAGTTTGTGATAAGATTAGTGTTATGCATACTTGATATTTGTGATGAGAGTAGTGTGGTGAATATTTTGTATTTGTGATAAGATAAGTGTTGTGAATACTTTAGATTTGTGATGTGAGTAGTGTGGTGAATATTTTGTATTTGTGTGAGATTCGTGTTGTGAATACTTTACATTTGTTGTGATGTGAGTAGTCAGGTGAATATTTTGTATTTGTGATAAGATAAGTGTGGTGAATACTTGATATTTGTGATGAGAGGAGTGTTTTGAATATTTTGTATTTGTGATAAGATTAGTGTTGTGAATACTTTATATTTGTGATTAGAGGAGTGTGGTGAATATTTTGTATTTGTGATAAAATTAGTGTTGTGGATATTTATATTTGTGATGAGAGGAGTGTGGTGAATATTTTGTATTTGTGATAAGATTAGTGTTGTGAATATTTTGTATTTGTGATAAGATTAGTGTGTGAATACTTGATATTTGTTGTGATGTGAGTAGTGTGGTGAATATTTTGTATTTGTGATGAGATAAGTGTTCGGAATACTTTATATTTGTGTTGTGAGTAGTGTGGTAATTTTTTTTGTATTTGTGATAAGATTAGTGTTGTGAATACTTGATATTTGTGATAAGAGGAGTGTGGTGAATATTTTGTATTTGTGATAAGATTAGTGTTGTTAATACTTTATATTTGTGATAAGAGTATTGTGGTGAATATTTTGTATTTGTGATAAGATTAGTATTGTGAATACTTTATATTTGTGATGAGAGGAGTGTGGTGAATATTTTGTATTTGTGATAAGATTAGTGTTATGCACACTTGATATTTGTGATGAGAGGAGTGTGGTGAATATTTTGTATTTGTGTGAGATTCGTGTTGTGAATACTTTACATTTGTTGTGATGTGAGTAGTGTGGTGAATATTTTGTTTTTGTGATAAGATTGGTGTTGTGAATACTTGATATTTGTTGTGATGTGAGTAGTGTGGTGAATATTTTGTATTTGTGATAAGATTAGTGTTGTGAATACTTTATATTTGTCATGAGAGGAGTGTGGTGAATATTTTGTATTTGTGATAAGATTAGTGTTGTGAATACTTGAAATTTGTGATGAGAGGAGTGTGTTGAATATTGTGTGTTTGTGATAAGATTAGTGTAATGAATACTTGATATTTGTGATGTGAGTAGCGTGGTGAATATTTTGCATTTGTGTGAGATTAGTGTTGTGAATAATTTGTTTTTGTGAAGAGAGGAATGAATTTGGTGAATACATGTTGTTTTTGGTGAGTGTGATGCGTTTGTTGAAACCATTGTATTTGTGATTTAAATGATCAATTTTGGTGAACACTTGGTACGTATGGGGAGAGTGAAGAGTTTTTTTTTAATACATTGGATTAATGTTGAGAGTGATGAATTTGGTGAATACATTGTAGTTGTGGTGAAGGTGATGGTGACTACATCAGAATTATGTACTGGTATATGCTGAGTTGGTGAGTGTCAATCTCCTCCTGTTCCAGGGCAGCTGTTCCTGGCTATACTCTCCGTCGTTCCCCACACGAAGTACAAGTTTGAACAGGCCAGCTCGGAGTTCGTCCAGTGTTTCGCAGACAAGGGTCTGCTGACCAGTTCCGTAGGTCCGTTCATTTTGGGCGCTGGCATGACTCTAGCAGGAGCGGTGAGTGATAGATGTACACTGGCAGTAACATCTCCCACTAAATCATGATAAATAAGATATTGTGCGTACGTATATTGGGCTCCCCTCCATACACAAGGTGCATTCTCAAGACTAACCTAATTCATTGAATCCGTGTGCACTCGATTTTCATTCTCAGCTCCCTGGGGAGTTTACAACCTAATATATAATCAATGATCATGGACAAAACAATCTAGTAACTGACATTGTGAACGTTTCGGGCTAGAACTCGATGACTTACAATGCGCCATGATAGAATATTGTGGACGGCGGCGTTTAACATAATACTGTTGTGCTGGTGATTGTGGTGTGCCTTACATATATGCTATGCCTGATCTGTAACGTTGTAATGTTTTGTATGTTTTACCTGTTAATATTTCAGTGTCCTGGGATGGTGCTAATTCAAGTGGGAGCCTGGGTTCCTAACGCCAGTGAGTATTTGTAGAATGTCAATACCAGATTACAAGCTACAAGCTCCAGACAGGGTTATCCTAACGATCTTATTATTCGATCCTTATCTACACTGTATCCGTGCTTGTGGATTTCACTTCGGATTATTCTAAACACATTCTATTCTGAAAAGTAAAAGCATTTGAAACAATGATAGTGAGACAGATTAGAGAATACCCTCTCTGCCTGCTATTTACCTTTGTAATAATTTTCGTTGTTTTAATGCCGATCGCATTCCAATTCGACCTTTTACTCCGCTATCGTGCCTATATCTGCGTCAACATCTGAGGACACGCCCATTAGAGGTCGGGCCAGGTGAACTTTCTAATCAGCAAATCAGTGTCGAGGCTTCTAAATTCTCGGGAGGAGTGAACGAAGCATCCGAACAAGCATACTTGATCTCAAAAACGAGCATAATCGGAGTCTCGTCATTTTATTGTTGTTGATATATTATACACAATGTTGTTTCTGAGCGGCAATTGGAGCAGTATCGAAAAGCATATTTGTGTTCTGTGTTTTTTTATTTGTACAAATCAAACTATGGGCTACCCGTTGTGATGTATCTGAAATGCTGTTATTCCCATTTCACTTTCCCTGGCGCTATCACGGATTGCCAAGGGGTCCTAAGACTTGAGACCCATCACCCTTGGATTCCCTTGGCTACCTGTCGGCAAATCAGCGTTGGTTATTTATGTAAGGTATTGTCTGCATGTCTATTTCAGTCTTCACACTACTTGGAGCTTTAATCGGGGCGTTGCTGTTTGGTCTTGTCGCAACAACCGTCACCAGGATCACCAGACCGAACAATCCCTTTAAATTTCACCAGTGAGTTTTTGTGATGTATACTCAACAAAAGAAGTAAAGGCTCATGAATATTTTTTGGGATACTTTATTGTGAAAACTGAGCACACAATTTCATAAAAATATCTCCAAAAATATTCATGATCCCTTAATTTCAGTGTTCACTATAGCTTGTACCCTGCTTGTTGATAATGGGTCTTTGTTTTGCTAGGTGCATCAGAACTTTCAACTTCTGCTAACACGGTTTCACAACTAAACTGCCAGGCAAAATAAAGTACAGTAAATTACAGTTATAACGAACTCAAATTGACCACTAATTTTAGTTCGTTATAACCGTAGTTCGTTATAACCATATATACAACATCTATACAGCAAATGACCAGGATAAAAATATCAGTTCGTAATATCCGTCAGTTCGTTGTAAGCGCGTTCGTTATAAACGTATTTTACTGTAAACACCAATGTTTGAAGGCTGCTAAACTGAAACAAACGAGACTGTTTTCAGCCTAGTAACGTTTTGATAACGTTAGTGATTATTTTGAAAAATCCAATTTTAAAGTTTAAACTTTCTTTTGTCCGGCAGTTTACAAGTATTCTATGTATTTGTAGTAACATGTAGTAACATGAAGTAACATTTTAACAAACCAAAACCTACTGTTTTTATGCAATTTGTGCAAGTGGCGTGTGCTAACGACAGAGCAGGGCTTACCCTTTTCGCAAACACTTGATGGCGTCACTGATTTTCAGTGATCCTTTCATATAATTTCCACAAACGGATCAGAAGGTCCGCGGTTCGAATCCCATCACGGGACTAGGAAATGTTGTGGCCGCTACACTAACATCAGATGACGGTAGGTTTGAATACCATAGTTAGGCGTTACACACCAACCAACTAACCATAACAGGTTTCATTTGTAAACATCTCAGTCCCAAACACTCCACCCGTGAAGATCCGGGGTAGAATAGGTCTTCAGCAACCCATGCTTGCCGTAAAAGGCGTCTTACGGCATCAGGTGGTCAGTTTCGCTGACTTGGTTGATGCATGTCATCCAACCCAATTGCGATGCTCATGATATCAATCACTGGATTGTCTGGTCGAGACTCGATTATTTACAGACCGCCGTCATAAAGCTGGAATAGTGCTGAGTGCGGCGTTAAACAACAACAAAACCAACCAACCCAACTTAACACTGCACAGTTATTTATACGGCGTCAAGTACAGCAACCCTCCACTCATTGTTCCAGAATCCATACGAAACTAAACAAGCCGTACATTATGTTCGCCCTTCCCATGGCAGTGATGCTTGGAGTCGTGGTGTTTCTACTGGAGTTCTACATTCCCTACCAACAAGATGTAAAAGTAAGGAGATTTTACAGCACTTCGTTTACTTTCCTTTCCGCATTCAGAAAGACACACTACATAAACTGTTTAGAGCACTGAGTGAGTGCATCAGTTTTGCAAATACTCGCGACGAGACAAATCGTTCGCTAACGTATCTGTTTATCACAATTATATATTTAGTTCTCTTTCGAAATGCGCAAATTGCCAGTTAAAAGTATTTATATAGTACTAAGAGGGGCGGTCGGGAAGCATGGTGGTTAAAGCGTTTGCTCGTCACGCCGAAGACCCGGGTTCGATTCCGACATGGGTACCGTGTGTAAAGCCCGTTTCTGGTGTCCCCCGCCGTGATATAACTGGAATATTGCTAAAAGCGGCTTAAAACCATACTTACTCACTCACTTTATGTGGGACTGTGGGATTGCCTTGTGGTTAAAGCGATCGCTCGTCACGTCAGTGACAGTATTTATATAGTACTGAGAGTCTGTAAGAAAGATGATTAGATTCATGTTTACTTGTTATTCTAATGTCAAAAGATTGTTTGGATGTTTGTTTGTTGTTTATCGGGTGGCCCAGTTGCGTCACTTGGGCACGCCAGAAACCTATGATTGTTAATTCGAATCCCGGTTCGCCCCGATTATGTTTCTAAGGTGTGAGCACCATACCCGTGCTCGTGGATTTCACCGAAGTGGTAAAGGTCTGAGACCTGCATCACTTCGGGCTTTCCTACCACATTAAGCTGACACGCCGCGATATAACTGGAATACTGGAAAACCCAACTCACTCACTCACTTACTCCCAATTGCGTGGATCGATGCTCATGGTGTCAATCACTGGATTGTCTGGTCCAGACTCGATTATTTACATACCGCCGTCATATAGCTGGAATATTGCTGAGTGCGGCGTCAAACAACTTACAAACAAACAAACAAACAAACGTTGGAACGGCGGGGATGGATAGTGGTTGAAGCTTTCGCGCGTCATGCAGAACGACCAGGTGACTTTCTCACTATACAGTGTAGGTACACATTACTGGTGTACCTCGCCGACGTATTGCCTGGTTGGTTTTTTTTTTGGTTTTTTTTTTTTGGGGGGGGGGGGGGGGGGGGGGGTATTATGTGAGAGTATACTATTCATGCATTTACTTACTTCATTTGCAGCGGCCGGAAAAATTATCCTACAACATCATCAAGACCATTGCATGGCCTCCGTATGTCTCAGGTGAGAACAGTCATATAAGCGGAGTCAGTGACTGCGTGAGATCACGATTCTTTGACCAGTTTTCCAGTTATATGACGAATTGTGGTGTCTGAGGCGACTGGTAAGAATCAATGACGCACATGCCCTCCTTTTTTTCTCGTGTGAAAATATCAATAATGACAGTGTCTTGTTATTTTGATATTCTCGAGAGTTGGGGATGTCGGTTGCAGGGGCTATTTTGAAGAAAACATGTATTACGTTGTTCAAGAAAAAAACTTGAAAAATTATTCTGGGCAACAATCACTAAATAAAAAACAACATATTTTGAAGATACTTGATCTTGTTTTCAAGTGTTTGAGGTTTTATCTCTCCATAATACACATATACAACAAATGGAAATACAAGCGACAAATCCTTTCTATAATAAAAAATAATAACTGCTAAAAGCAGAGGCCATTGTGCGTGACTGTTGTTGCTGTGTATGTTGTGCGTGACTGTTGTTGCTGTGTATATTGTGCGTGACTTTTGTTGCTGTGAATTATGTACCTGATTGTTGTGGCTGTGTGTTGTTGCTGTATATGTTGTGCCTGAGTGTTGTTGCTGTATATGTTGTGCATGACTGTTGTTGCTGTGAATTATGTGCCTGAGTGTTGTTGCTGTTTATGTTGTGCCTGAGTGTTGTTGCTGTGAATGTTGTACCTGGTTATTGTGGCTGTGTATGTTGTGCCCGTGTGCTGTTACTGTGTATGTTGTGCCTGATTGCTGTTGCTGCGAACGTTGTGCCTGTGTGGTGTGGCTGTGAATGTTGTACCTGATTGTTGTTGTTGTGAATTATGTACCCGAGTGTTGTTGCTGCGAAGTATGTGCGAGTGTGTTGTTGCTGTGTATGTTGTGCCTGAGTCTTGTTGCTGTGAGTTATGTGCCTGAGTGTTGTTGCTGTGTATGTTGTGCCTGTGTGTTGTTGGTGTGTATGTTGTGCCTGAGTGTTGTTGCTGTGAATGTTGTGTCTGTGTGTTGTTGGTGTGTATGTTGTGCCTGAGTGTTGTTGGTGTGTATGTTGTGCCCGAGTGTTGTTGGTGTGTATGTTGTGCCTGAGTGTTGTTGGTGTGTATGTTGTGCCTGAGTGTTGTTGCTGTGAATGTTGTGTCTGTGTGTTGTTGCTGTGTTTGTTGTGCCTGAGTGTTGTTGGTGTGTATGTTGTGCCTCTGTGTTTTTGTTGGTGTGTATGTTGTGCCTGAGTGTTGTTGGTGTGTATGTTGTGCCTGAGTGTTGTTGCTGTGTATGTTGTGTCTGTGTGTTGTTGCTGTGTATGTTGTGCCTGAGTGTTGTTGCTGTGAATTATGTGCCTGAGTGTTGTTGGTGTGTATGTTGTGCCTGAGTGTTGTTGGTGTGTATGTTGTGCCTGTGTGTTGTTGTAGTGAATGTTGTGCCTGTGTGTTGTTGGTGTGTATGTTGTGCCTGATTGTTGTTGCTATGTATGTTGTGCTTGTGTGTTGTTGTAGTGAATGTTGTGCCTGAGTGTTGTTGGTGTGTATGTTGTGCCTGAGTGTTGTTGGTGTGTATGTTGTGCCTGAGTGTTGTTGGTGTGTATGTTGTGCCTGGTTGTTGTTGCTGTAAATGTTGTGCCTGTGTGTTGTTGTTGTGAATTATGTACCTGATTGTTGTTGCTGTAAATGTTGTGCCTGTGTGTTGTTGTTGTGAGTTATGTACCTGATTGTTGTTGCTGTGTATGTTGTGCCTGTGTGTTGTTGTAGTGAATGTTGTGCCTGTGTGTTGTTGCTGCGTATGTTGTGCCTGGGTGTTGTTATTGTGAATTATGTACCTGATTGCTGTTGCTGTGTATGTTGTGCCTGTGTGTTGTTGTAGTGAATGTTGTGCCTGTGTGTTGTTGTAGTGTATGCTGTGCCTGATTGTTGTTGTTGTGTATGTTGTGCATGAGTGTTGTTGCTGTGAATTATGTACCTGATTGTTGTTGCTGTGAATGTTGTGCCTGTGTGTTGTTGCTGCGTATGTTGTGCCTGGGTGTTGTTGCTGTGAATGTTATGCCTGGGTGTTGTTGCTGTGTATGTTGTGCCTGTGTGTTGTTGTTGTGGGTTATGTACCTGATTGTTGTTGCTGTGTATGTTGTGCCTGTGTGTTGTTGTTGTGAGTTATGTACCTGATTGTTGTTGCTGTGTATGTTGTGCCTGTGTGTTGTTGTAGTGAATGTTGTGCCTGTGTGTTGTTGCTGCGTATGTTGTGCCTGGGTGTTGTTGCTGTTAATGTTGTGCCTGTGTGTTGTTGTTGTGAATTATGTACCTGATTGTTGTTGCTGTGTATGTTGTGCCTGTGTGTTGTTGTAGTGAATGTTGTGCCTGTGTGTTGTTGTAGTGTATGCTGTGCCTGATTGTTGTTGTTGTGTATGTTGTGCCTGTGTGTTGTTGTTGTGAATTATGTACCTGATTGTTGTTGCTGTGAATGTTGTGCCTGTGTGTTGTTGTAGTGAATGTTGTGCCTGTGTGTTGTTGCTGCGTATGTTGTGCCTGGGTGTTGTTGCTGTGAATGTTTTGCCTGTGTGTTGTTGCTGTGAATGTTGTGCCTGTGTGTTGTTGCTGTGAATGTTGTGCCTGTGTGTTGTTGCTGCGTATGTTGTGCCTGGGTGTTGTTGCTGTGAATGTTGTGTCTGTGTGTTGTTGTAGTGAATGTTGTGCCTGTGTGTTGTTGCTGTGTAGGTTGTGCCTGTGTGTTGTTGTAGTGAATGTTGTGCCTGTGTGTTGTTGCTGCGTATGTTGTGCCTGGGTGTTGTTGCTGTGAATGTTGTGCCTGTGTGTTGTTGTTGTGAATTATGTACCTGATTGTTGTTGCTGTGTATGTTGTGCCTGTGTGTTGTTGTAGTGAATGTTGTGCCTGTGTGTTGTTGTAGTGTATGCTGTGCCTGATTGTTGTTGTTGTGTATGTTGTGCATGAGTGATGTTGCTGTGAATTATGTACCTGATTGTTGTTGCTGTGAATGTTGTGCCTGTGTGTTGTTGCTGCGTATGTTGTGCCTGTGTGTTGTTGCTGTGAATGTTGTGCCTGGGTGTTGTTGCTGTGTATGTTGTGCCTGTGTGTTGTTGTAGTGAATGTTGTGCCTGTGTGTTGTTGTAGTGTATGCTGTGCCTGATTGTTGTTGTTGTGTTTGTTGTGTCTGTGTGTTGTTGTTGTGAATTATGTACCTGATTGTTGTTGCTGTGAATGTTGTGTCTCTGTGTTGTTGTAGTGAATGTTGTGCCTGTGTGTTGTTGCTGCGTATGTTGTGCCTGGGTGTTGTTGCTGTGAATGTTGTGCCTGTGTGTTGTTGTTGTTAATGTTGTGTCTGTGTGTTGTTGTTGTGAATTATGTACCTGATTGTTGTTGCTGTGTATGTTGTGCCTGTGTGTTGTTGTAGTGAATGTTGTGCCTGTGTGTTGTTGTAGTGTATGCTGTGCCTGATTGTTGTTGTTGTGTATGTTGTGCATGAGTGTTGTTGCTGTGAATGTTGTGCCTGTTCGTTGTTGCTGTGAGCTATGTACCTGATTGCTGTGGCTGTGTATGTTGTGCATAAGTGTTGTTGCTGTGAATGTTGTGCCTGAGTGTTGTTGCTGTGAATGTTGTGCCTGTGTGGTGTTGCTGTGAATTATGTCCCTGAGTGTTGTTACATTGTATGTTGTGCCTGTTTGTTGTTGCTGTGAATTATGTACCTGATTGATGTTGCTGTGTATGTTGTGCCTGAGTGTTGTTGCTGTGAATTATGTGCATGAGTGTTGTTGCTGTGAATGTTGTGCCTGAGTGGTGTTGCTGTGAATGTTGTGCCTGAGTGGTGTTGCTGTGTATGCTGTGCCTGATTGTTGTGCCTCTGTGTTGTTCCCGTGTATATTGTACCTGTGCCCGTGTATGTGTCTGATTGAGCCATTATGTTTACTGTCAGGCATCATCGTCGGGGTCTTACAAGTGCCAGTCGTACTCGTCTTGGGCGACACTATTGGCGGAAGTACCAGCTATGTCACTATTACGTCACAGTGGGTTGTGTCAAAAACACTGCAGAAGAAACTTCCGTATATGGCAGCGAAACGAACCGGGATTGGCAACTGGTGGCAGGTAGGATATTTATTTTCGGTGAATTATAACACAAAAGCATATTGAATTAACTCGGTATGACGTTTAAGACTATTCCAGATTACTGTCCAGGAAGAATTCTTACCCGCACTGTCTACTATCGCCACTGGGGTTGCGGATAACCCAGGATTTCGAGTTATGATTTGAAAATTTATTCTTAATACACAAAAGTCTTTCCTCGTATGAGCAAGTCCTGTGCGAAACTGATCCAAAATGCAATTAATAGTTAGAATAGTTAAAACTTGTAGAATCAGATCACAGTAACGTATGTGAATGTGTTATTGTTTTAACCGTAAGACTGTCATATTGTCTTCCTGCTTACAAACCTCATTCTTACAAACCTCACATAACATATTTAGTACCGGTATTTAGACCAAAACTATTGTGTATTATTGTGTATCTGATAAGTCGCTGTATTCCTTCTTAAGAAATGCGTTCAAAAAGCTTAACATTTCTCCTTTCCAATGTGTTTAACCATCACTGTATTTTGCCTTTCCGTGAACGAATTGACTGATAAACACCAAGCAGTAGAAGTATCAAAACGCCTTCTTGGTTTAGTGTGCCAGGTGTTCTTAAGTCTTGCATATGTTTACGTCAAGACAAGAAACCTTTATGAATAACAGCTTTTGTATTGTTTGTAACGGCATGTCAGGGCAACTTCCTGCCAATTCATCCTCAGTTGAATATTGAATAATGGCATTGGGTTCATATTTTTACATGTTAAATGTTAAAGAATTTACCTCAGATTACATGGTATAATTAGATAGATATCCTATTGAAATCTTAGTATAGATGGGAATAGTGTCATATTGGGGCAAGCTTATGTCTCACCCCATATGTATTGTGTTATGTATTATTTGTCAAATAGTACCGATGGTTGTAAGTTTGCTTTACTAAAAAACGTTAAAACCATCCTCCTGGATACAGGCATGCCATTTGCTGGATGTCTCAAAGTGTGCCCAGTGTCGGTTGACTAAAAATAATGTAGCATTAGTTTTGTTAGATCAATTTACTCAGACCTGGCGCACATCTGCAGAATGTTCATCAAAAGGATAATATTATGTATTGTTCAAACAATTACCTCACTTAGAACCCTATTTGTAACAATTACCCTATACATTTCGTATTTGGCTCACTAGAATAAGAACAACAAACCACAGACTCCCTTTTGAGACCGGACGATGGGTAAAAATAAAACAGTAAAACAGAAAATGTCTGTGTAACTTAACAATGTGTAATGAATACCATTTCCTACTTGTATGCCCATCACTAATCAATCAACGAAAAGCCCTTTTACCAAAATATTTTTGTACCAATCCCACAGTTGAAACATGTATCAATCTAATGCAAAGTGATCATGTCCCCCTACTAGTTTAAGTCTCACACCATATCAAATAGTGTCTGTGTTTATTTTGACTTGTATGTGATAAGTGGTTATATATGTTTAACGATGTATGTTCTTTGTGTCACTGTGTGTGATGTTTTAGAATAAAAATACTGTTCTGTTCTACAGAAGGTAGGTTTGATGTACGAAAATAACAATATAACTTGGAAGCCAACAGAATTAAGCGGATAGAAGCCTGGGTGCCGTTGTACAGAGCGAACCTAGCGCTAAGGTGATCGTAACTCCCATACCATAACAGACTGACGACAGGCGTAGCTCTAAGATGATCGTAAATCCCATACCATAACAGACTGACGACAGGCGTAGCTCTAAGGTGATCGTTACTCCCATACCATAACAGACTGACGACAGGCGTAGCTCTAAGATGATCGTAACTCCCATACTTTAACAAAGACTTACGACAGTCGTAGCTCTAAGGTGATCGTAACTCCCATACCATAACAGACTTACGACAGGCGTAGCTCTAAGGTGATCGTAACTCCCATACTTTAACATAGACTTACGACAGTCGTAGCTTTAAGGTGATCGTAACTCCCATACCATAACAGACTTACGATAGGCGTAGCTCTAAGGTGATCGTAACTCCCATACTTTAACATAGACTTACGACAGTCGTAGCACTAAGGTGATCGTAACTCCCATACCTTAACATAGACACGACAGTCGTAGCTCTAAGGTTGTTTTGTACAACGGCACCCAGTTAAATACAGTGAAAGTAAAGTTAATAACAGTGTTATAACAAAGAGCTGACTGACAATATACCAATAAAATGATGAGGATGTCCACTTGCGAGTCACGATGTCATCTGTTCATATCAACCTGAAATTTGAAAAAAACAGGTTCCTACCAATGATGACAGCTTGCATTTCCGATCCAGTTTCAATAAGACCGTCATGTGAACCACGTTAGAAAGTATTTAATTCATTGGTAAGCCTTCGTTAGAAAATGAACTCGTTATATAATGTAGTGCCTGAGTGGTTCATTCTGGGCGCAACAGATTTACTTCGTTTCATTTTGAATTTCTACCCCCCAATCCATTTACCGTATTCGACGGAATAAGCGCCCAGGGAGCTCTCAAAATTAGAAATGGGGGGCTCTTCGTGGTTTATGCTGACAGCCTGAAATGTTTATGTACGACAGATATATGTTTCCAGAATTTAATTGGCCATAAATAAGGGTGCATATAACACACGTGTGCGTATTATACCGAATAAATAAGTCTTGTGTATATTGATCAGTCGGAAGGGATGCAAATTAGGCTTGTTCACTAGCCAATATATCAGCAAATATCGCCGTGGGCGCTTATTAGAGCGGGGCGCTTATTACGTCGAATACGGTTGTCGCCTCTTACGACAGCAAAGGTTGGGACCTATATATTCTAACCCGGAATCCAAACGAGTTGAACCGTCAACACTTTATATTAAATCGTCTCGTTCTTTAGGTGATCTACGTATGCTGTGCTATCATTGGTGGACTTGTGTCGGCGGTGACGTCACACTCATTAGCCTCGATCCAGGGTGTCGGGGTACTTGAAGGCTTCTTTGGTGGAATGTTGATGCTACTGGGGGCGAGGCTAGCCGCCGGGTGTACAAGGTAAGGCTAGACATACGTTCACGGTGTTCTTTTCTTGTCGTCTGGCCGCCACAGAACTGAAATATATTTCAAAGGGCCGTTATATAAATTCATCCTCTTACTTGACTGACATCGTAAAATCGATTTTTCCATGAGTGGCGCAACTCCTTTTTATATCAAGAGATGAGGTAAACATGTCACTGGACAAGAAAGCCCAACTGTTCATTTCTTAATTTAATTGTTTACTGATATCTGTCTGAAAACAAAGGTGTAAAGAAAACAGAATGGAATTTTTCCGACATATAGTGACATTTCACTCGAGTGAAGTATTGATTCTCGATTTTCAGATACATATCATATTTCATCACACAAAAACCCATAACGAAACGTTATATTTCTCTATTCAAAATGCACATCACAATTGTTCTCAACGTAATGTTATTTTACTTCCCTTTGCATGTGTTTTTGCCGGTCGCCACCTTTGGGACAGGATACACTCACCTTTTTCGGAACATCTTGTATCATCACCATTTGATCGTGCTTCAAAAACACGTTAATGAAATATACGGTATAAACATTGGACTTTGCTTTCAGCAGAGATGTATTGTCATTATGATAAAATCCTATTGTTGCCATTACCAAAAATGGAAACATCTTCACAGATAAGCCTATATAGACATCATATTGAAATACTAAAACACTGTACGATCGCAATACTGTCGATTGGAGTGATAAATGGGACAGTGGCTTAAAGAAGATTACTCACGTCAAAGCAAGGCAAAGTTATTTGGTGTTTTCCGGTTAGCAAATAAGTCCCCAGCAATCTATGCTTGTCGTAGGAGGCACTATAATGCATCAGTTCGTCAGGTTTGATTGACTGTGTGTCGTGGGACGTTGCTCATAATATCAATCACTGGTTTCTCTAGTTTTAGAGCTTCGTTCCACAAAGCAAATTTAGCCCTACGATTGTCTTAAGTCAGTGCTAATGAATGAGAGTAACGATCGTTTCAGCTCTGAGATCGCTTTGTGGAACAGGGCTCAGGCCGCCATCATATTGCTGGAATATTGCTGAGTGCAGTTTTAGACATAAAAAAGTCAAGCCTAAAAGCATAAGACAAAATATAACTTTTTTATTTTTTATATTTTTCAGTGGCCACGGTCTTTCAGGAATGGGTATGCTAGCCTGGCTGAGTTTCATAGCAGTGCCGTTCATGTTTGGCGGGGCCATAGCAACAGCTTTCATCATGAGAGCAGTGAATGGTTCATTAGACCGTTATGTGTGGACTACACTGAACTTGTAAACAGGAGTTGATGCCAATGCTGATCTCGACCGCCTGGTGTCTTTGTCTAGTCGATATCCTGCAATGTGTGGTGCCAGTGTTCAGATCAGACCCTGTAACAGAACTGAAAATAACGGATGTATTGAGACATCCACAGTATTTGAGTGATCTTGATAATAAAATGTATGTTGACAATGGTGACGGAACGGAATATGATGCTGCATTTTATTGAGAGTGGAATAGAATAGAAAGGACATGTTGTGCATCATTGTGGACCAATGTGCATTGTTCTTACTTGTTCTAACAAAGACTTCGGTGGCTCATTCGTCTTGTACGCCATAATACACTGTGCAGAGCTGTGTCCCTTAGGCGGGCCAGGAACCTTTGATCGTTGTTTCGAATCCTAGGTTCGCCCCGAGTAATTTACTGATGAAAAGAAAATAAGGAAACAATGAAAACTATAGGGACGTAAGGTTTATACACAGTACGTTTGAAATAGCGTCATACAAATTCGACACGTCAGCATCAAATGTTGACATGTGTTTTTATGCATTGTTTCCAACGATATTTGGTCGACACCTATGATAGGATATTTTACTGTGTCTAAAAACTAAGTGTTCTCTAATTCAGTTTCATCAGTTTATTTCTTACACGCCTGTGGGTGAGAAACCCATTTGAGATAACTGGTATCAAACATATGTGTGAGATCGAATTCCAGGCCCGTGACTGGCTACTCCATGGTGATGACCTGGGGTCAGATGATGACGGACTACTTTCCTTAGTGTAAGTCATTCATAAGTTGCTCGTGCTTCAGTCGAATGTTCACCTAAGTCTGTATTGAACCACAGGACCGTGTAATTAATAATTAAAGTAAACAAACTCGTCCTCGTCTGAGAGTTTGTTTGTTATTATTTTCAGATACATTATCTGTTGGTATGTCAACATTATCGGTTTTTTTCAGAGTGTAAACCCCCTGGATGCCACAGCGACAGATATGTCCCTCCTCTTCAGCCCTCACTTCGAAATCGAATAAAAGTCAAAATACATCAAGCAGACTAATACTCTTCACAGTTTTGAATTCCCCCTTCTGTTAATCATTTACTGTCATTTTAGGCAATTCAAATTACTGAAAATACTGAAAATTGTAAATATCGCCATATCACAATTCACGGCGTTATATAAATATTTACTGTGTGTTCAGAAATCTAAATATCGGATATTCACTCGAATAATTAAAGTAGAAAAATAGCATATTAGCCATCACGGGTATCAAATCACTAATGATAATTCTGAAATGCCGAAGTGTACGTTCTGCCATATTGGATTGTGTTTACAAAATGACGGTTATGAGACGCCTATTCGATCAGGTATATTTCAAACTCAGCTGCTATATATGCATCCCTGAATTCCTCATACATTTTCGAAACAATGGATAAATGGTCTTTGTCACCAATGCAGATTATCTAGATGAAATCATGCGAATATGAATTAGGTATGGTACTATGCTCGGAAAAATGTACTTGCTGAAATGCAAACAAAGCAAAATTCAGATTTTACACTGTGTAGCATTTTCAGAGGTACTTCGTCTAATTCTTGCATACATTGGCTCGATCACGCGTTTGAGAATATTCATGGGAAGAGTATCGTTGCACTAATTATGGAAATACACATATACATGACAATGATGTGGTAAATGCAACAGAAGCCGTAAATGTTTCCGTCTTGTGTGATGCCATGACTGACGCTAAATCACGCACAACGATGACGGTTGTTATCCTGTACATCATGTTTGTAACGTCACATCCTGTACTTCATCCTGATAACTTCTTGATTACATTGTTAACTGCTGTGTATACTTATTGTTTACTTATTTGGGAGCAATAGTATGTCGCTTCCTTCATAAATCTGCAAATAACGTTATTTTACTAACGTTATTGTATCCGCTTCATATTAGTATCTACTGCATAGGTTCTAAAATGACATAATGGTATAGAAGTATGAACACTACATCGATGAAACATGCAACAGTTTCTTGGTCATGGTCCTCTTGTGACACGTAATATTCACCCGTGATCCGGGGTAGAATAGGTCTTCAGCAACCCGTGCTTGCCGTAAAAGGCGACTATGCTTGTCGTAAAGAGGCGACTAACGGGGTCGGGTGGTCAGGCTCGCTGACTTGGTTAATGCATATCATCGAATCCCGATTGTGTGGATCGATGTTCATGATGACAATCACTGGATTGTCTGGTCAAGACTCGATTATTTACAGAATGCAGCGTTAACAACAAACAAAACAAACAAAGATCATGCAATATTCCAGCAGCTCCATCCTTTGGTGTCTATATTTCTCAACGTTTGAGGTACATTTAGAGATTTGCAAGAACGTCATGAGGCTCTTCCCTGTAAGTTGCGTGACAAGGGGAACAGCACAGCCAGAATACAGATGCTCGAATGCTGTTTTTTTCTGGTCAAAGAACTTTCAGTGAAGGGTCCAGTGTGTTTGCAACAGTTACTGTTACTAACATTTTGGTAAGGACCATTTCTGGTTAGGATTATGTCACTTCCGGTTTCAGAGAAGACTTACTGTTCTGGAACGTTCAGATCAGCTGATAAGTCCCAAACTGATAATTTCGTTTTAAATAAATCATTTTTAGTTTAAGACCTTAGAGAAATGTTTACCCAATGCCCGAACTGACCAAGTTACAATGTTCATGGTACACGAAGAGCAAATATATATGCAACACCTTCATCAGACCAATGACTCAACCCCCAAAAAAATCAAAAAGCGATAGGCACTAGATAACCCGTTTATGGTACACTATATTTTTCTTGTTTTGAATATCCATATATCCACTGCAGAAGACCTTCACGGCAAGACGTGCCAATGTGAAGACAGTGAATGTTCTTTCCTGAATCCGTGTCGCAGCTTTCAGTGTCTCAACTGCATGAGAGTTCTACACATATAGTGCCAACAACAATATGATCATGCAGATATGGGGAAATATGACCTAAGTCAAAGAACTAAAAAATACAGGCATCTGATGATGCAAAACATTGCCGAAGAGAGAGAGAGAGAGCGAGAGAGAGAGAGAGAGAGAGAGAGAGAGAGAGAGAGAGAGAGAGAGAGAGAGAGAGACAAGCGAAAGTGCTGGTAATAGGATAATATGACTCGCTCTGTACTCGGATTCCGAAACAATAGTCGTCCTTGGTCAAGACATATATGTAATTACAAACGGGGGTGGTATTTAGCCATAAGTTTTTTGCATGTTACCTGTTACCTTGCAGAAAGTGAGCTGAATAAGTCAAGAAGGAATGCAATTTCTTGTTTGATGTTTAACCCCGCACTCACCAATAGTCCAGCTACATGACTGTAGCCTGTAAATACTCCAGTCTGGACCAGACAATCCCGCGATCCGTAACGTCCGATTAGGGTAAGATAACACAAGTACCCGAGCATGACGACTCGACCCATCTAGTCGGGTCTTGGAACAACACAATTCCAGCTAATTATCATTGCGACATGTAACCCGGCCTGGGAGAGTCAAACTCATGTTATAGTTATGATGTATATTTTTAAGAAAAACATTCAGATAACACATTATAATCCATCTACATGTGCATATCTCGTCGGTCTATAACTAATAAAGTCTGGACCACACAAACCAGTGGAAGATAGTATGAGCAACAATCCACGTAATCGATGCACGATTATCGCGATCATCCACGTCATTTAAGTCGCCTCTTGCGACATGAAATAGCTAGAGGGCTTGGCGGTCTTATTTTAACCCGGCTCCCAACTCCTCTCCCCAGACACCGAAGGCCGGTAAATCGGTCAAGCCGTAGTCACGTCAAAATAGTCTATAACGTTGTAAACTTACCTGTCCTATCATTCATTTATTAAATCTATCATATTTCACAATGTCTGAATGAGTATTCCATTTCAATTTATTATTTTGTATCGATAGATTAAAACATTATTCACTATTTCCCGCAATGTTAATGAAAATAAAATTTTCGGACACACACTTCGACAACGGGTCCACATCGAACATGTCAAAGAGAAACAAAAAGACGTTTCACGCAAATCTTCAAATATAGTATACATAGTAAAAAATCTAGAAGTTGTCAAATTTACATCTAAGTTATTATTTCCATCTTTTCGTGCGATCGCTTGTAATGTAAGTCAAATGACATCTCGGCATTCGTCGCCTCAAATTCTCGGCTCGGACACGATGTTTAATGCCAAAAAATTTGCATGAAAAATCTTTGCCACAGCTCGTAACCTAGCACGATACATCCACGAAGCTTCACATTTTTAATATAGATCGCGATTCCCTGCTTAAAACGCCCAGAATAACACGAATTAACAAACATCATACACGCGTACGAGGACGGTACCATAGCTGTAATTTGAGGTCCCTTGCTCAAGTTTGACCAATCATGAACCTTGTTGCAGATTTCGGCAAGAAAGCGTCAGTCGTTGTTATAGGGAAATGGGTGAAAACAGATACTATTTACACTTCTTTTTAAAATAAGTTTCCATTTACGTAAGCAATGAAAATAAAAAAGAAATAGGTAAGTGGATTTTATGAAATTATCTTATATTTGCCGAAAATCTTATAATTCTCGCTTCCTTGATCCTTAATCTGGAAGTTATCAATGCGTTAGCTTGCATTTTTTTCTTTACAACAATCTTAATTCGGTTGTAAATGCATTATTTAAATAATTTGATAAACATAACTTTCATATTTATAACCAATAGGATTAGACCTTTCAAATGGTGTATAACATGTAGTAGCAAAGATGCTTTACAAGCAGATATTTTCTTTGATAAATGTTGGCTTCATATATCACACAAGATAACTGGAATACTGTTAAAAGCGGCGTTAAACACACCTCACTCACTCACTCACTCTATCACTCTGGGAACTCGGTGTCACAGCAGTAACGCTTCTGGTTGACTGGTCTGGAAAGAGTTAAAGCAGCGTTAAACCGAACCCACTTACTGTAAATTGTGCACCAATGTAGCAGTTTGAGACAGGGAGGCAACTCGTACCACCTAAGTTTTATAAGAGCACCCGGCGCTACATGTTGTCACTTGACTATTTTAAGCACAGTAACTCTCACACGCACTGCACTTTTCTAGGTCAGTATGTACAAGCTATCGCCTCCTTTTCGCTTTAGAATACGATAGACAATTGGTCAGGGTTACTTATGTCGCGGGTCCTTGCCGACGATGAAATTGAGTGGATTGATGCGGTGAAGATGGCATAAAAGGATTTATTATCTGTTAAAAGTGGCATTTGAAAGTGGCCACGTCACACCCCAGGTATGTGCACGAGACACTGCTGGTAAGACAACCAGAAGTAAGAGTGGGAGATGAAGCGTACGTACAATACAATAGAGATAACTCTTGGCAACTAACCCTAAATATGTCCAGCGATAAATGTATCGAACGTTGAGGTGAAACTTTATTTAAATATTTGTCTGTCTGTCTGTCTGTCTGTCTGTCTGTCTGCAGGACATGTCTCTGTTTCATAAGGTTTAGATGAGCATAAAACAAATCTTAATCAAGTAAAGTCAATTTATTCATGTTCATTCAAATGAAAGTGGATCATATTCATTGCATAGATTGCCAAATGAAAACCTGGCGAGAGCGAATGGTTATCGTACTTCTGTTGATGTAATTAGTATCATGTATGTAAACAGCGTGCCGACCTGAGGCAATTGTTAGTTAATTGAAGCGTACGCGCGAAGTTTGTGAATTTGGGGTCACAGTGACAATGCTAGGATGAGAAGTGGCGGTGGGGTAGCCTGGCAGTTAAAGAATTCGATAGCAGCGCCTAGAACAATGTTTGAATCACCACATGGTCCACTGTTTGAAGCCAACTTCC